GAGTAGGAAGATACACATGATTGTTATATTTTACGTTTTTTCTTCAAATACACATATTGGAATAGCCACACATTTCATAATAGCTTTTCTGCAGCTCATGGCCAATCGTGTTAGAATGCTTCTGTAAGTTGCTAAATCCCTTTTATAGGGACCCAATCTTTCAGACTTAGGAAGCCTAAGTCATTGAGGGTGTTTAGAATCCAATGCTGGATTCCATGCCAACATGTAGCATACACTATGGGGTAGCAGAGGACACAATGTATCTTGTCAGGAGGATCACCAGGAGATTCGTGTATTCTATTTTTTTGTGTGAAACAGGTGCAAAGGAAAGTCAGTATTGGGAAATGAAAGATTATATTTTTATCTGGGCAGTGTGGGAGCGGGGGACTTGGAGATAGTGTTAGACCTCCAGTCTTTGTAGAAATGTCCTCTTTTGAGTCTGGTTCAGGCAGAATGATGGCTGTACTTATTTCCTGACGCCACTCAATCAAAGAAGCACAAATTAGGTGGCTTACAACAAGATAAATCTATCACAGTTCTGGAAGATCTGTGTGTACATCTGGTGAAATATTAGTCTTATAAAAGAAGAAACCCTGTCATGTACTATGATAGGGATGAACTTAAGAACATTGTGCCAGCTGAGATAAACTAGCCACGAGAGAAAAATAGTGCGTGACTTCACTTATATGACGTAGGTAAAAATAATCAATACTGTAACAAGATAGAGGGGTGGTGGCCAGGCTAGGAGGGCAGGAAGTGAGGAGTTGTCCAGTGGGTGTTTTAGTCTGTTTTGTGCAGCTGAAACAGAAAATCACAAACTAAAAAAATGTCTAATGAGCAGAAACATTCATTGAGATGGTTCACTTGGCCTTACTGGGAGTAGAATAGTTTACTGACTAACACATGCCCTCACCTCATTCCACCAAGAAGCTGAGGTGGCAACCCTGCCGGAGGCTGCCCTTGTATCAGACACTGGCAGGTAAATACCAGTGCCCTATGACTCACATCAGCCATAGTTTTGTTACACTTAATCTCTCTCCTGAAAGTCAAAAGCATCGACTGCAATTGCTTTTGTGAAACTCTCATTTTTTTCTTATCAAATATACATACTACAGGTGAAAAAAAATAAGCTTATTCATTCTTCATGGATCAGGAATAACTACTAAGTCTACTTCAAGGAGGATATTAGAAGTCCACAAATTATTAACTAACAAACCAACATAATAAAGCAAGAAAGACTTTTTGGTTGTTCTTCTATACTCTCCCCCCCGCCACACACAAAATGTCAATTTGCTCGCTATTCTCTTCGTTTTACCAGAATGACATCATGAATGCTGAGTGAGCATTTATTATAGCCACAACTCTCATGACATGTGTTTACTTGTCCTATAAAAATTAAACTTTATTATAACATCTAGCTTTGGAATGTTTTTCACTTAGAAAGTTGTGTATTTCATGAGCTTCAGGAACCTCAGGACGCTACCATCTACCTGCATAAATGTCTCCTTGACAGGATTGATTCTTTTCTCAGAGTTGTCCATGAGTTTTAGCTATAGTGTCAGGTCTACGACAGTGGTCTAACAAGGTGAATGTACTATTTGAATGGTTTGCATTGATTCTTCTATTGGGATTTTTTTTTTTTTTTGTCAGCTGTGGGGCTCAAACTCTGGGCTTGGGCACTTTCCTTGAGATCTTCAGCTTAAGGTGAGTGCTCTATCGCTTGAGCCACAGCACCACTTCTGGTTTTCTAGTGGTTTATTGGAGATAAGAGCTCACAGAGTATCCTGCCCAGGCTGGCATTGAACCGTGATCCTCAGATCTCAGCCTCCTGAATAGTTAGGATTACCGGTGTGAGCCACCAGCACCCAGCTCCATGGGGATTTTTTTAACTTTAAAAGTTGTGCTCCATAAACATTATTATATGTTTATATGTATGTATGTATGTTGTATATATTTATAAATATAACATATTTACATAAGACTATAAATGTTATATGTTATAAATGTATGTTTTTATATATATGTTGCTCATTAACTGTTCTCATCTGGTGCACTGAGTAATAGCCATAAGAGCTTAGGAAAGGCAGGTAAGTAGCCAAATGATGAATGATTATGAAAACTCTTGGTAGATAGTATTGTCGTTAACAGATGAAGTCCCTACAGTCATATTAATGAGATTTGCTACTATCTTGGCAAAATGCCACAATGAAAGCTCAGTTTGTCACATAGCATAATTTCCCTACCAACAGAAATTAGTGGGGATTATGCTATCAACCAAAGGCAGTTAACTGCCTTTAGACATGTTCAGAACAGAACTATTTAATTCCTCCCTCTGCCCATATTACTATTTATTCTCCAGTATCTGGCTACTGTGTGCCAACTGACACAGTCCTTCCAGCAACTCTGGATGGAGGCACCTGTCATTCCCATTACTCATGAAAAAACTGAGTCAGAGAGAGATTAAGTAGTGTGATCTGATATCAAATCCTTGTCTGTTTTGCATAGCAAAATAACTGTCACAACTGTCATACTTGTATCACAACTATTAAATGCCAGCACCTCAGAACTTGTCCCATAGTCTCTTTACACCTTTAAAAAGCTTACACTGACCTAATTGTATAAATAAGGAAACCAGTAAATACAGAGAAATAGTTGGCTCAAATTGTTTGGCCAATTCATGACAGACTGGAGGTTTGTCCTCACATAGAGCAAGCTCTATGTGCTCACATAGTGCAGCTCTAACTTCTATGCTACATGGGGAGCAGGGACACAATTTGAACTTAATGAAAGGGACCATAGATTTGAAGAAAAAGTTACCGTTTTTTGTTGTACTATACCGTCTCTAGTATAGTATATCAGAGAAATCAAGATGCTAGAACATGGTCTGCGTAGCATAGCAGATGGCACTGTAACAACACTGGACAGGGCAAGGGTTTTTCTGATGACTCTTATGCCTACATATATAACAGGTAACCGTTCAAACTGAGAAGGAAGGTATGGTGAAATTTAGGGATAACAAAGCCCCCCTTGACTATCTGCTTTGTGATGTGGTGTGAGCATCACTGACACTTGCATTGTGCCCAGAGTGACAGCCCTGTAACATGTAAACTTCTAAACACCAGATTCATCTGATAGACTGGCATAATGGCCCTTTCTGAAATCAGCAACATCAGCCAGGTAGCCTCCTAGTTCTTTTTCTAACCTTCATACCTAATATAATCATGCCAATCTCATAAATCTTTTAAAACCATAAAGGAATGTTTATTAAAATATTACTCAGAAATCTGGTTCTAGAAAAGAAAAGAAAGAAACATTTAAAGCTGATGTACTATGTAAAATATTCTAAAAAGTTCCTATGTTTAAAACTTCTGGGAGGACATTTCATACAGTGGAGAAACTGTATAGACAGATAATTTTTATTCAAATGTACACAGATGGTATGAGGCATTGAAATAATGAAATAAAACACGTATGTGGCTCACACCTGTAATCCTAGCTACTCAGGGGGCAGAGATCTGAAATGTCCGTTTGAAGTCAGCCAGACAGGAAAGTCTGTGAGATTCTTTTTTTTTTTTCTTGGGGGGGGGGGGGGGGGGTCCGGTCATGGGGCCTGAACTCTGGGCCTGGGCGCTGTCCCTCAGCTCTTCAGCTCAAGGCTAGCACTCTACCACTTGAGCCACAGTGCCACTTCCAGCTTTTTTCTTTTTGCTTATGTGGTGCTGAAGAATTGAACCCAGTGCCTCATGCATATAAGGCAAGCACTCTACCACTGAGCCACCTTCCCAGCCCTGTGAGATTCTTATTCCAATTAACCACCCAAAAATGAAGTGGAACTGCGGCTCAAGTGTTAAAGCGCTATCCTTGAGCAAAAACACTAAGGGACAGTATCCAGGCCTTCAGTTTAAGTCTCAGTACCAGCACGAGAGAGAGAGGAGAGAGAGAGAGAGAATCATAAAATATCACAAGAGCATGATGGTAGTAAACATCATGGAACAAAATTTAAATTGTATAAGGTTTATGCAGCCTTGGGTATCCATAGTATTAATGTAATGAAAACAGCAAGCAGCCTTTGGATATCTCCTCTGTGCTACTATGATGGATAAACAATTTTCCCAAGTAATCTCATTTAATACTCACCCAACCGTTAACTATAAAGTCATGTACCAATTCCATTTTTCAAGTGGGAAACAAAATCTTGGAGGTTGGGAAATGTGTCTGAGCCTACAGTGGCTAATCTGGCTTAAATTTAAACCCACACAGTCCAATTCTATGATGCAAGTTCTTAGTTGCTGTGTCATCCTTGTTTCCTCCCTAAGACAAGAAAGGTGTGGATCTCTGCAACGTTAATACAAAGCAAAGAGGCCAAGGAAGAAGAGAAGCTAACACGATGACAACCCTGACACCAAATAGCCTGAACTGTCTTGATCTTACCTGGCGTCTCCTCTGGGTTGGCTTCAACTCTTGAGATTCAGAGCTCCACATTTGTAGCTGGTTCCCCATTTGGTTCTCTTGCCTGCAGGAGACAGACTTTAAAATTACATTCACATCATTCCACTACTGCAGCTGCTTGGTTACTAAATGCCAATCATGAGTCTCAACTCTCAGAAACCTGTTGTACATTATTCTGGTTCCAAATAATGGAAAAAAATCAATGTGATACTTTTTGCTTGTATATTATCTGGAAGTTAAGAGAACATAGAATCAAAATAAGCATTTTAAGTTGTCTGATCTTTCTTTCCTCCCCAGCTTTCTCTGCTCCTAATAAGGAGAAGAAATTACACTCTGGGCAGGGTGCTACGCCAGGGTAGAAGGGAGAGAAGTGAACATCAGGAACATACAACTGCTTCCTCCAAGCACTGCAGACTGGCTAAATCTCACCACCGTAACTTCCTTCACGTTTTCAGGCAGAGTCCACAAATACCTGAAGGCACTATAAAATGACTATAAACACACCGATGACTTTAAGGGATACTAAAAAAACTTTGCAGAATTATACGAACTGATTGAACAGTATAGATTTTTATTAGTTTCTTTTTTGAAACGTTTTCAACAACAAGTCTGCTGCTAGTCCTGGGGGCAAGGCCCCACTGAGAACTTTACTTTCCAGAAGCGGAATCTGTTCGCGGACAGTGGGGTGGGCCCTGAAGTGTTCTAGCACGTTGTCCTGAATGAGATTCCACATCCAAACTTTCTGTTGCCTCCTTCGTTTGGCAGTGAGCTCCCCGCTGGCAAGCATCACGTTGTGGAAGTCTCTCATTTTATCCCACATTTCAGCAATGCCCTCTCCAGTTTTGGCAGAAATGCGAACTACCTATTGAAAAGAAGAAGCAGAGGTGTTTTACCTACTATGACATAGACAGAATTTTCATGGGGACTCTGATATTTGCCAGTGAATTCTTACAGCTTATAGCAAAAGGCATGGGACAAAAACGAGCTTTTACAGCCTCCTCAAAGTAGACATGCTGACACGCATGCAGAGGGCATCGATTCTAGGCCAAATTCTTTAGCTCAGAGATTTACTTAATCTTGGGAATGCTTAGATGGCCAGGGACACCTTGGAGGACTTGGGAGAGTCAAAGGATGAGAAAAGGCAATGTTAGCCACACAGGTTTCCTAAGGCTCAAGTGCAAGGAAAAAAAAAAAAAGAAACTGAGCTGAGAGAACTCAGCTTCCCCTCCTTCTGCTAAATTTGCCTGGGTCAGCAGGTGCTGAGCGCCAAACACCTAGAACTTCCATGCCCAAGGGGGTTCACTCAATACAGACATGCCTGGAGATCTCGGAGGCTGGCAGGGGACATCCTCACTCCTGTTCTAGTGACTAGGGCTTATTCTCCAATAAACAGATAAAGCTGCCAGCATCAGTATTTCCTGTATATTTCTTACAGAATGATTCTTCATTCAGTTTTTCTTTTGCTTATTGGAAAGAGCTCAGGAAGCATGATGGGAATGGAAGGGTCAAAACACGAAGCTTTTCTCTGGTACTAAAACTCCAGTATAGATAACCAAATCATTAATTGCTCCATTATTTTGCGGGTGGATTTATTATCACTTGCAAATGGCTCACGTCAAGCACTGAGCAAGCTAATCCATCACCTCACGTGCTAGTTTTTGACATCCTGTGGCTGAAAGATTATATTTAAAATCATGACTACCTCCTCTGGTTTTGACATATTTTTGATGCTACAATCTTGAAGCCAAGATTGATTATGTGTCTGCTTGGGACTTACACCCTTCCTCTAAATGTATATAATGTACATAACTCAGGGTGAAAAATGTAGAAAGGAGTGCAAACCTGCGGGCTCCAGACTTCCGAGCGCTTGCGGAGTAATTTTAGTGCACTCACATACTCTGCTTGAATTCTTCGTGCTGGCACAACAAAGTCTCCATCAGATTTAGTTACAGCTACCAGATCTGCCATCTCAACTATACCCCTTTTGATTCCCTAGAGAGAAAGGGAGAAGCAGCGAATTTGTCAAAAGCACAAATGCAGGGCACCCATTTTGAAAGTGATGCACTTCATTAATTTCGTCTGCGTCTTTCCAAGCCCTGGCACCAGCAATCACAGTTACAGGACACGGACTCTTAGGATTTCGGAAGCTATCTGCAGCCTTGCTTCGGAATTTTGAGAGTAGAGTAGTAAAGCGCACTGGGAGCAGTCAATCATGGCACACTTGATGGAGTGGCAGGAGGCACTTTACATTGCCTCGCAATGGACTCTGCCTTTTATCTCTGAAGGATATATCATCCATCATTAGGATGGTTAAAAGAAAATGTATATGCCACTAATATCTACATTTCCAATAATAAAGCCTTTGAATTTTTCTTAATTACATATAGCATATTTTTCAATTTGCATTTAATGATAATAAGCTGATTGCTAAAATTGCCTCAACTTCTTGATTTAAATTAAGCTGCATAATAATGCTAAATATTGCTACCGTAGGTGGCTTGTTCCTATAATCCTAGCTACCTAGGAGGCTGGGATCGGAGAATTGTGGTTCAAAGCCAGCCTGGGCAAAAAAAATCCACAAGATTCTAATTCCAAGGAACCTGCAAAAGGCATAGCTCAACTGGTAAGGGTCAGCTGTGGGCAAGTAGGCTGAGTGAGAGCTCAAGGCCCTGAGTTCAAGCCTTAGCACCAGCACAACCATAAACAACGAATACATAATAAGCCAGAAATAAAAGACAAAATTCCAGGGACAAATCTTATTTCTAAAATGCATTTGTCCATCTCAGATTAATTTTTTTCAAATATTTTACATATTACTTTTAAATGTTACATTCTGATAGTCAGTGTCTTTCAGTTACAGCTTCCATTGTCTGTTACTACTCTGGGGGAATTTTTAAAAATTCATTTATGTTAAATTGTTAACTCATTAAGTTAAGAACTATTTCAACTGTAAAAAGTTGCATAGTTATTATTGTAGCTGGACAAAGCGATTTCGATTCGCCATGTCACTTTATGTGTACAAAGCATCTTGGCCAGTGTTGCCCTTCCACTTTTCTCCCACCACCTATCCCCTCTGGTTTCTTTTAGAATTTTTTATGTAATAAAAATTTTCAATGTCTGTATTGGACTTCTAAATTCTTGGAGTTTAATCCGTGGTTTTTCTAGGGCAATAGCACTGCCTTTGTAATTTATGGTGCAGGTCTAGAACGATAACCTCATTTATGAAGAATGGGCACTGACCATGCCAGCAAAATCTACTTTGATTAGGGGCTTGGGCGTCTGAATCCTGTGTGGACAATTTCTGTGGGGTAGGAGCTGGACACTGGGCTCAATTATAGGGCCAATGTTTCAGCCACATGCATCTACATAATGAGACCCCACTAAAAACTAAGGACACAGAAGGTCCAGGGAGCTTGTGATTGGGGAATGTGTCTGAGGACATAGAAGCTTTGCCTTTGGGACTCCCCCCCCCCCCCCCGGCCCCCGTCCCGTCCCCAGACATCACCCTGTGTTTCTTCATTTGGCAGATCCTGATTTATTGCTTACATCATAAAACTTCAATCGTAGTATTGTGCTTTCCTCAATTCTATTAGTTATTTGATCAATTATGGAACTTTTGGTAATGGGAACCCTCAGCTTTGTGGCCAGCTGGTCAGAGGCATAGATGACCTGGGAACCCTAGAGCTGACAGTTCCTGTCTGAAGTGAGGGAAGCTGTGGAAGGCAGTGCCAGCTCAAGGTGGAAAGCACCAGAGTTACATCCAGGACAAGCTGGAATTCCATTATGCAGTATGTAAGCTATGATGGTAAGAGCGCAGCTAAACATCAAGTGGAATCTGATGAACTTCTGAACCAACACTTCTACATACATTGGTGCAACAAGGTCTCTTTTAGTCAGAGCTATCCATTTATTTCACTCACTTCCTGTTGAATGTGGAAAAATCCAAGTCAAATGATTAGCTCAATAGTATATTACTAAAAGTAACTGCAGTGTATTGTTACCATAAGTTGGGAAAATACATACAAAGAATCTGCCGGACTCAAGTATTTTAGCCAATATGAAGGATGTTTCTTTCTCCATACTGTTTCTTTTAAGTTATTTTGCAGAAACTCAACACTGGAAATTTGCACCTTTGTACTAGCTACTTTATTTGGAGGAGTAATCAAAATCATTACCTGCAATTCATCCCCTCCTGCTGGTGGCAGTAGTAAAACAAACATGTCAACCATGTCAGCAACAGCAAACTCTGACTGACCCACACCTGGAATTTTAAATCACAACTATAGCTTAAAATATTCAGAGTCACTACGCTTTCTCAACTGCACTGACTGCTATTTCCATTCCATTCCATTCCCTCACACTCAAGGTCACATATCCCTTTAAGCCCCAGGTCTTAGTCCATTTTCTGTTGCCCTAATAACATACTTGAGTCTGGTCATTATTTTATAAAGAATAGAAGTTGATTTGGAGGCTGGGAAATACGAGAGCACAGCCAGCCCCGGCTGTGCATCTGTGAGAGCTTCCCACTCCTTTTGGGCCAACTCCAAACTCCTGAGTAGGGCACAGCCAGCGTTGGTAACCTGGCCCCGGTCACCACTCCACCCATTTTTTGCTCAGGGGCCTGAGCAAGCTGTGCTTCTTCTCTCAGTCCTCTGTGCTCATGGAAGTGTTCTTGCCCCCACACTGCTAACTCTTCCTCCAAAACTCAACTCAGCCACCCCACTGCTCTAGGAAGTCTTCTCCAACTCTCCCAAATCTGAGTTAGGTTGTATCACAAACGTCTCTTTCACAATAACGTAACATTCAGTCTCTCCACAAGAAAGTGACTGTCAGCATTTTCATTTTAGGGTCTTCATTGCATGTAATTATATGCTAATGGTGTAAGAATAAATAAAGCAAAGCCCCCTAACCAGAGTTATCTAATGCACGTCTTTTCTTAGTGAACAGTGCACACTACACATATGACATGGGCTTTTGTCTTTTGCTCATGGAAGTCATCCTCATGCTTGCTATTCTCTAGCACATGCGACATACCATATGTCTGGGTAACACAGACAGTGCCAAGTTATGTGAGGGTAGCAATTATATCCAATATGCTCATATTGCCTACTGATCTATGTTAATGTTGTGTATTTATTTAAACCACTGCAAGTATGTGCTTAAAGAACAAAATGGAATTAGTTGTCAAGGAGTGTGGGACCTTACACCTCTATCCCAGATACTCAGGAAGCATAGAAAGGAGGATTACAGTTTGAAGCTGAAAAGTGAAACCCCCACCTCAACAAACAAACTGGGTGTGGGAGTTCACACCTGTAATCCAAGCTCCTGAGGAGACATGGCCTGACCTAAAAAAATAACTATAGCCAAAAGGTACAAAACCTGACCTAAAAAGTAACTGCAGTGCCGGTGGTGTGGCTCTAACGGTAGAGCCTGGTCAGTGCAAGGCTTTGATATTATTAAAATATTTTTAAAGCTGGGTGCCAGTGGCTTTTGCCTATAAATCCTAACTACTCAGGAGGTTGAGGTATCTGAGGATCACAGTTCAAAGCCAACCTAGGAAAGTCTGTGAGACTCATATCTCCCATTAATCACCAGTTTTAAAAACAAGCTGGGAGTGGAGCTGTGGTCCAAGAAATAGAGCACTACCCTTGAGCAACAAAGTTCAGGGACAGCTTCCAGGCCCTGAGTTGAAGCCCCACCTCTGGATTGGCACCAAAACAAAACAACGTCTCCCCCCTCAAAAAAAAAACCCCAAATCTTAGCTGTCACTTGTCACTCATCTTTATACAGCATTCATTGTAACAGCATATTATTGTTTATACACTACAACAGCACACTCACCTACAGTTTCGATGAGAATGATGTCATACCCGCCCCCTTCACACAACAGGATAGCTTCATTTGTGGTCCTTGTCACGCCCCCTAAGGTCCCTCTGGTAGGAGATGGTCTGATGTACGCGTTCAAGTCTTTTGATAGCTCAACCATCCGTGTTTTATCACCTAACAGGGATCCTAAAACACAGAGTTACATTTTATAATTGTGACACTCTAAGGCCAATTAACAATTTAGTCCATTTCAAGGGGACATGCTTTATGACAAAATTCCAACCTGTATCTGAAAGGATGGAATTTCCCTCCAGCTCACTGTATATGAGCACGCTGGATTCATCTTACCTTCTAGGCACCTTAGCTGCCCAGTTCCAGCCTCCGGCAGTGAGCCCCAAAACAGTCTCAGGTCCAGAGCCAGCCGGGGTGTTTTCTTTACTTCATTGGGGTTTACTGCCTGCCCTCCCCCCACCCCCCGCGCGGCCCAAGACATCTCTTCTGTTCTTATGGTGCGTCGATTTAGATAGTCTGCATCCTGGCTTGAATGTTCCCCACCATTCAATTTAGAGAAGTAACTGTACCTACCTGAACCTTCCTGCTGGGCTACATAGCAAGACTTGGCGAGATTATATACAGGAACAGAATGTGATGTCAAAAGCGAAATTCACAATACTACAGGTATCTTAACAAAGGTAAGTTAATGTCCTTATTCTTCCATTGGATTTTCTGGAACTTTTTCACCCACGCCCAACTCTGAGTACACAGCAACTGTTTTGCCCTGCACTCTGATAGCATCCTGGAGGAAAGAGAATTTGGTGTCCCTCCCCTTTCTCTTATGACCATGAACACCCACCAATCCCATCCCTCTATTAGTACAAATGACATTTCTCAGCCTTGTGCAAATGTACCTGTAAGCTGCCCTTCTACCCAGTCTACTTTTAACTCTCTACTACTTAGAAATTTTGAGGCCCACAATGAATGCAAAGTAAGCTGAGTGAATGGACAGACAACTATTCAGGCAGCACATTTTAGGGGTTCATATCTCCATATCTTATCTCTTTCACACAGTGATTCTCAACCCAGGTAAACCTTGCCCCCTCCCCTACCCCCACAACTTCCAGAGAAATTTGGCAATGTCTAGAGATACTCACTTTGTCAAGAGATGGGGTGGGATGCTACTGGCATTCACTAAATAGCAACCAGGGCTGCTAAGCATCCTGAATTTATAGGACAGAACTACCTGACACAAAGAGTTACCTGGTCCCCAGTTTCATTAGTGCCAAATTCCTTGCCTATCCTATACACTGAATGGGAAACAGTAAGTTTAGTAAGTATTCAATGTAATACCTATGAAACAGAACTAGTTATATTTGAGTTACCTGTAGTATTGTGAATTTCAGAAAAATGAAAACCTTCAAACCACTATAACTTTTTCCTACTTTCCTTTTGCCATATAATTGTGAAAATGACATTATTTCAACCTATGTGTTTTTACTCTTAGGTTTACATTTTTCCTGGGAAGATATTCAGGATGCAGTCTTTTCCCTATGGCCACAGTTCAGTCTTCTCAAAGGTTTGTTTTCTAGAGCATGCACTTGACTCAACTACATCACATAAAACTTGTTCCTGAGCCAAGCACTGGTGACTCACGCCTGTAACCCTACCTACTCAGGAGGCTGAGATCTGAGAATCATGGTTCAAAGTCAGTTTGGGCAGGAAAGTCTATGTAATTCATCTCCAATTAATCACCAGAAAACCATAAGTGGCATTATAGCTCAAAGTGGTAGAGTGCTAGCTTTGAGCAAAAGAGCTCAGGGACAGCAACCAGGCCATAAATTCAAGCTCACGGCCAACAATAACAAATGACAAAAACAAAAACAAAAACTAGTTCCTGGTTAATTCACATGAATTCATTACTGTGGTAACCAACACTTGGTCAAATGAATGCTTTATAAATTATTATCCTATAGACACTATAACACTCCAGTACAAATTATGACAGACTTTCCCATCTGAATTGTTTTTGTTCAAATTGTTCGTTGTAGACTTGCAGAGTAGTCATGAAGCTATTGCGGGGTCTGGGAATCCTAAGCATATGGCTTGAATGACCAAAACTCTAGTGCTTCTCACACAATACTGATACATTCCAGAAATGTATATTTATTATAGTGGCCTGTGTATCATCATGTATTTGCCTCTCAAAATCTATCTATTGTATCTATCATCTGTATTTCTTTTACTTGGAAAAAAACCTCTTTATTTTTTGATTAAGGAAGAAAGACTAGGTACTGTAATGACAGGCAATGTGAATCAAAGAATACTTTATACCATCATTTCTATTATCAATTACAATAGCAACCTATCATTTTCTTTTTCCATAGAAAAATCCTAGACTTTGATCGTGGAAGAAAAAGGCCTTGTCATCTGTGGGAGCAGGAGGATCATGCAAAAGATCCCTCATTAAAGAACTGGCCTTCAACAATGCTCTTAGGTTGTAACTAACTTAAGACAACACAATGACATACATTTAATCTTGAAACTTGTGAGTTCAAATTGTATTTGCAGTTAACATTTCTATTACAGTGCACTGAAACTGTTGAGCCATATTTCTCAATAAACAAGCAGGAACAGGAATTGTCCACCTCTCTACTGACCCGAATGTGATCACATTCCCCTGAAGTACGATCATATTCCCTGGAATAACACAGTGCACAAAGCACCCTGTGCTTACCCCTCCACAACGCATTACGTTGTAATGGCCTGCGTGGGCTGGCCTGATTTCCCCTAGACATGAAGCTCCCCTTAGGCTGAGAGCACTGTGTCTCACCATGCACAGCACAGGGCTTCTGAGCAGAGCGCTCGCTGTCCAAGGCGCTCAAAGCCTTGCTAAGTGCATGTGAGAAGCTTATATCATAGAGGGCAAGGGAAGAAAACCTTTCCTGAGTATTTACACAGTGTGCTTTCTGTTTTCTTTAAATGGTCCTTCAGGGAACTAAGTTTATATTCATTTTATCTCTGATGAGCTGCAAATTAAACATGGAGTGATTGCATGACCTCAAATCAGTAATAGCTGCACACTGTGCAGTGGACAATGCGCTCTGTAAGTCCTATGGGGGAAGAGCAATGTGTTATGCAGTCCCTCTGGGAGCTTTCTAATCGGGCATAGCGCATAAACAGGTGACAATTTGCAAACAGTAGAAAAGCTTAAGAGAGGTTATAAAATAGCAAATGAGCAAGGATTATATTCTGAATCATGCAGCCACTGATGCAGCCAGAACAAAAGAGCACAGGAAAAGAAGGGCTTGGTCTTAGGCCTGAATGGCAAAGAGCTGGTCGTTGCTTTGAATCATTTCAACTTCAGGCCTATTATCTCAGTATTCCAAGTGCCTACTGAGCTACCCACAAGCTGGCTGCCTTGCCTGCAGAGTCCAGGGCTCCCAGCCACCTCCTGCTGTCTGTACCTCACCCAGAAAAACAGGAGTTGTTCCTTCAGTGAGCCCAAACTCAGCTAGCAGTTCATCCATGGAACTGCAGAGTTCCACTACTATACTAAGTACTAGATACTCCAGGTAAGAGAGCGCCCTACAAGATCTGCGATTCAAAAGGAACCCGCCATACTCACCACCACTAGTGAAAGAGGAAGGGTCCACAGCTAGCACAGACAACTTGTGCCCTCTCTCAGTGAGCATTTTTCCAAAATACTCAATAAATGTTGATTTTCCAGCACCAGGGGGTCCAGACAATCCTACAATGAAGAGAGATCTCTAATTTAATAGAATGAAATGAGTACTACAACCATGTTATTGAAGAAATAATTATTTACCGATTGCAGCTATTGTTTTAACATGTCCTACAGCAGAAAATGAAAATCTACCTTGTGGTCTCATTCCAGGGAAACTGTGATTTAGGAAACAAAAAATTCTTGAGTTTCATGTTTTCAGAATTCACTTTCAAAAATAGAATGTACTTTGCCTCTTCTCTATAGAATTTTAGGCACATTTCATCGAGGTTCAAGGACAGCTTGGGTACATACATTCCTGAGACTCCATCGCAATGAATGGCTGGGTACGGTGGTGCCCACCTGCTGTCTCAGCTACAGCGGGGGAAGTACAGTGGCTAGGCAGTGGTCTGTACCTGTCATTCCCAGCACACTGGGAAGCACCAGGAGGAGGAGGGCAGTCTAGGCTGACCTGGACATAAAGTAAGACCATACTTCAAAAATAACCCTTTAGGAAAGGGGTGGGGGCTGGAGGTGTGGCCATGTAGCAGAGTGCCTGCCTTGCAAGCACAGAGTTGAGTTCAATTGTGGGTAATGCATAAAAAAACAAAGAAAAAAGAAAAAAAAATCAGAGGAGCTGGTCATGGTGTCTCTCACCCACAACCCTCGCTACTCAGGATTACAGCTCAAAGCCAGTCCAGGTGAAGGAGTCACGAGTCCTCATCTCAACTGATAAAGCTGGGCATGGTGGTGTGTGCCTGTCATTTCAGCTACCCAGCATGCAAAAACTCAAGAGCCTATCGAAAATATAACTAAAGCAAAAAACAAAGTGTGTGGTTCAGGTGGTAGAGTGCCTGCCTAGCAAGCACAAGACCTCGAGTTAAACCCTAGTGCACAACAACAAAAGACACACAGGAGGTACACCTACCCCCATCAGACCTAAGACCAAGTATGTGAGTGAGCGGGCAAGCCCCATGTCTCATTCTAGTTCTGCTCTCGCAAGCTCTAGCACTTCGGTGTCTCAGCATCCTTTACAATAGAGCAAGGAGCATCACACTTTCTCTTTCAGATTATTGGAACAATGGCATGAAATTGTGTGTGCAGTGGGTTTAGGACAGTGTGTGGCACAGAGATGTCTATGTTCAATAAGGCATGTTACACAGGCATTTACATGCTAAGGTGTGCTTGGTCTACTTGGCTCCTTACGACATCTTTCTTAAACATGCTTAGAGTACTGAATAAACACGTGTTGCTCTTATCTATGATGGTGACAAAACAAGCACAATAGAGACCCAAGTTTATGTGAAAACCCAGCTAGAACAGCTAGAAGAGCAATGCAAAGTCACGTGTTTGCTTAATTGACTCTTCTGGGGTATTCTCTCTTCAAGATTATCTCATCATGACTTGGTGGCTTGCTATTTTGGGGCTACAACACAAAAAGGTTATTAATGTCGAAGATGGTACTCTCAAAACGAGAGCCTCTCAATGAGGGCAGAATAAGAAGTTTGAAACATGTGGATCAATACAAATACTGGCTGATGGCCTTTAAAAAAAAATCCTTAAAGTACTAATATAAAACCTAGGAGATCTGGGTCGCAGCACTGTCAATAAACTATGATATAAAAGCCTATTTGTGTGAGGTCCCAGTGCTTCATACCTGTAATTCTACTTCCTAGGAGGCTGAGATCTGATGATCACAGTTCAACTAGCCGTCAGACAAATCCTCAAGACTCTTACCTCAAGTAACCAGCAAAAATGTTGGACTGGAGGCATGGCTCAAGTGGAACACTCTCTGAAGCAAAAAAGCCTCAAGACAGTTTAGGGACTGGAATTTACCAATTAATTCTTCCATGTGCCTATTCACTACCCACAGAACCCCTGCGCTTCGCCCAACATATTGTTTTTTCTGGAAAGGTTGATTCCAATTACCTAACTCACCATCCTTGAATGCTCATTCCACTCAAACTCCTTGGATTAATTCCTACTGCCAAAACATATCTGAATGGTCTTAAAAATGCATAATTTCAAAAATGTAACAAGCTAAATTGCAATTTCAGAACCAAAACAAATTGTCAAAAATATCATTTAAATATAGATAGCAAATAAATGATTAAAATGTCATCTCTACAATACTTCAGTATCGAGATGGTCACTCCCAGAAGCTCATTTAAAAAAAGATCCATAGGCCGGGATGTAGCTCAGTGGCAAAGTGCAACATCCTAGGTTTGTACCCCAGTACCAAAAAAGAAAATACGAAAAAAAAATTGAAGACATTATAACTGACACACCATGAAACACAGAATTCACTTTGCACTAACAAACTGAAGAACTACTGAAAGGAAGGAAGAAACTGGTTAATAGCTCTTTCTGGACCTATTTCCATTCTTGAAACCTTCGCAAGATTCTTTCAGAACTACAGCTCTATTACACTTTGAAAATACAGAGCCTTGGTCAGGGCAAGTTTTTCAAGATTAGTATTTTCAAAAAAACAAGCATTTAAAATTCACCCAAACGGGCTGGGAAGGTGGCTCCGTGGTAGAGCGCTTGCCTTGCATGCATGAGGCCCTGGGTTCGATTCCTCAGCACCACATAAGCAAAAAGAAAAAGCCGGAAATGGCTCTGTGGCTCAAGTGGTAGAACGCTAGCCTTGAGCTGAAGAGCTGAGGGACAGCGCCCAGGCCCAGAGTTCAGGCCCCACGACCAGACCCAAAAATAAATAAATAAATAAATTCACCCAAACTTCAAGAAAAAATATTGCATTACACTGAAAACTATTTGGATGGTACCTGAGTTTGAACTCAGGGCTTCATGCTTGCTAGAGATTCTCTACCACCTGTGTCATGCCCTCAACATGCTTACTTTTTGGATAGGCTCACTTTTCTTCATGGAACTGGCTTTGGATAGTGTTCTTCCTACCTATACATCTTGCCTAGACAAGATTACAGGCATAAGCCACCACACAGCCTGCAAAGTGTTCAGACTTTGTTTGTATGTGCTGGTCCTAGGGTTTGAACTCAAAGACTGGGGATTGTCCTGAGATTTTTTGCTCAAGGCTAGTACTCTACCCCTTAAGACTCAGCTCTACTTTTGGCTTTTTGGTTGGTAGTTAATTGGAGATAAAAGCTTCCAACTGTTATCCTCAGATCTCAGCCTCTAGAGCTACTAGGATTACAGGTGTGAGCCACTAGTGTCCCAGCTGTTTAGATTTAGTTTAAAAAGGAGAAATGAGCCGGCGCCAGTGGCTCACGCCTGTAATCCTAGGCACTCAGGAGGTTGAGATCTGGGGATAGCAGTTCAGCTTGCCTGGGCAGGAAAGTCCATGAGACTCCGATCTCCAATTAACCACCAGAAAATGGTGCTGTGGCTCAAGTAGTAGAGGTAGAGTGCCTGCCTTGAGCTGAAGAGCTCAGGGACAGCGTCCAGGCCCAGAGTTCAAGCCCCACGACCGACATTAAAAAAAAAAAAAGGAGAACTGAAAAAAAAAAATACTCAACAACAACAAACTGACCTACTCGAAACGCTAGTGGCTTTCCTTGATTTAACTGTTCCTGTTCTCGATGGTAGACTAAAACCTTCTGCAAAAGCACCTGGGCTAAGTCCTTTTTCCTGTGGTGAGTCGATTCTATGAGAGTTATGGACTCGGCTAAGCAAGCCCTTTGCCCTTGTATTAGACCAGTATAAAGTCTATCCACAAGTCTTTGTTCTTTATCAGAAAGCTCCTCCGTGTAGTCTTTCAAGGTCGTTTGTGTACAGAATTCTCTCCTTAAACTATTAGACAGCAGCATCTGCTTTGTATACTGGAGTCCAAGAGACTTCAATGGCCGGGCACACGAGAGTCCCCGTCCGCGAGGAGTACTTGAGTGCGAGACGCAGCGGTGGCGATGGAAAGACCCTGTGAAAAGGCCTCTCAGCAGAGGCTGGGGAGGACGCAGCAGCAGCAGCGCTGGAATGCTCATTGTGCATGTGCCCCGAGGAAACCTGGATGCGTCTGGCTTAATGTGACTTGTGGCCGCCCTAGAAGAAAGAAAAACATATTTTTTGCCAGTTCAACAGACGACAGATACTGAGGCAATGAAACAGTGCTTTTCCTGCGCTCGGTAACACACAATTATGGTTCTGGGCAGGATAAATGGGTGAGTTCTCTTACTAAATCTGAGAGAGAATATCCTCTCCTTTGCTATGGGTAAAATATATTCAGAATATCCCAAGTCATAAAACCATTACTCTACTGTAGAGAGTGCATTAAAATTTCTTCATAAATAAAAACCAACATACAAATGCTCATTAGGGTAGACATTTGCTATCCTGTCTCTCCTTCCATTCATTTTAAAGATTACCTCAGGTCAACATACCCAGTGCTGAAGCGCATACAAAAGATTCTTTAGAAAGAATCCGTTGGAAGCTGGCCTTTGATCCACTTGCTACAAAAGAAATGTGATTAGAAGTGTGGCACTTGAGGCACAAGTTTAGATGCAGTCTGTGCTGTGCTATAAAGAGCCCCTACCCCCACCCCATAACCTGGCATAAGTACACAATCAACAACAATATGCCTTAATGTGCAGTGAACTGTGTGGGTGGTTTCTCAGAGCAAGGTCAGAACCACCATTACTTACTGCCAGCGCACTAGTGGTCTCGGTGGACAGGCACACCAGTGTGAGCCACTGTGACTCCATGCAGGTCCTTTCCCTAGATTTACCTTGATTCTAAGGCAGCTTCCAACTGTATTAGATAATGGAAGCTGTGCTGCAACTAAGTCAGGACAGGGCAGAGATTATGAGCCACAGCCACCATACTCTGTACACCTCCACTGTCCTGTCCTCACATAAGTTACGTTGTCACTCTGTGTCTCAACTGCTCTGGGGGAAAGACTAGATAAGCAAACAGGGTGGTTGTGGGAGCAAAATGACTTAATTTACACCCTGCGCAGAGTAAAAACTCAATTAACATTAGCTTTCATTGTTAATACAATTTATAAAACACTGGTAATGACAGACCTTTTTTCCTTGGCAAACTAAGATTTATAGACAGGTCCTTACAAGCTACCCAGTTTCTGTTTATGATTATAGGTAAATTTTCCTGTACCTCATGACACATTAAAATAAATTACTTGATTGCTCCCAGATACTTCTGTAAATGGTACTTTAAAACCCATGAATTATGAAATTAATTTTAGCTAATAAGCATCCTATTAGTGACAAAGAAGAAATAATCTTAAGATTTTTGTAAGTGGTAGAATTATAATTGCTCATCTGTTCGCTAAAGATTTTTTTTCTATTTTGAGGGAAGCATTATAATTTCTATTTATACCAAATTAGTATTAGTCTAAAAGGACAGTTAATTAAAAAATGTGTAAGTTATTCTTTAAAAAATGTAAATATCCACCACTGCTTTTTATATAAACACTAAAAATAATGACTAAAACAAAAGGTCTTGCCCTCAGAAAACTGGCATTCTAGTGAGAGAAGCCCAATCTAATTAACTTTATGATGGTTAGTCTGTCTATGTACCTGGAGGCTGGATCATAGGTAAAGTTTAAAAGAAATGGTCAAGGACTGGGTCAAACACAGGTCCTTACAGAGGACTGCAAAGACTTTAAGTGAGACGGGAAGCCAGAGGACACAGGTGAACCTTTAACAAATGTTTAAAGGGACTCTGGGTATTCTATACAGAGTTCAACGTGTGAGGGGATGGGGGCGTCAAGGCACAAGAAAAGAAATACAAAGACCATCCAGGAAAATGAGTGCAGTCCAGAGACGAGATGATAAAGGTGTGGTCCAGACAGGTGGTATGAAGTCAGGCTGCAGAGGAGTGCTGAGGGACCTGCTATGAAATGTGGGTGGAGGGGAGCAGTCAAGGATGAGCAAGGGCTTTGTCCCATGCCCTAGAAAACTAGAGTTTCTTTTCCTAAGCTGGGGAAGGATGTGGGAGTTGAGGTTTGACGTATGACCAGGAATCTGACTTTCTTTTTTTTTTTTTTTTGGGTCCCGTCGTGGGGCCTGAACTCTGGGCCTGGGCGCTGTCCCTCAGCTCTTCAGCTCAAGTCTAGCGCTCTACCACTTGAGCCACAGTGCCACTTCCAGCTTTTTTCTTTTTGCTTACGTCGTGTTGAGGAATCGAACCCAGGGCCTTATGCATGCATGACTTTCTTAATAGACACCTATTATTATAATACAGACACACAGGCATCAAACATTATATGGTACCCATTAATATGGGCATATTTAGCTTTTTGTGTATCACTCAGCAGCTTTAGACTGATCGACCAAAGCTGTGCAACTATGGAAATAACTTCAAATTTCATAAATCCAGATCTATATGGTATTACCTCTAGAGAAAATAATCTCTGTGAAATACCAATAATGTATTAAGTGACAGAACAAATTGCAAAACATTTTAAAATGTTTTTTCACTTCACAGAAAATTCGTATCTGATGACTAAATCCATAACATAGTTAACTTCATTATTCAAGTGATCTGATTTTAAAGCAGCCAATACATTTCTCAAAAGCCAGTGTAACCTGGTGTAACCTGGCCTTATGAGCAACTATCCACCCTGACACACGTGGCATGGGCAGAACAAAAGTTTGTTTGCAAACTTAGCAACATTCTAATGGACTCTTCCAACCATGCTGACAAAACCAAGTATGGCTTCCCACCTTCTAACGAAGCATTTCTGCCTGCTTTCTTGTGGGAAGAAGCAAAGAACTTGGCCAATAATCAAATCAAACCAAATGGCTTCAATTAATTTTCATGATCCCTCAGAGTACAGTTTCATCTAACAATTTGTTAAGCTATGCACTGCCCAAAATGAAAGATATTTCTCAGCATTTACAACGTTCAGTAAGAAACGGTAAAACACTGCCAAGTCTAATAAACCAGACAGTCAATTTATTAGTATACATGAAAAACATCAAGTAGGCAAAAATACTGAACTGGGCTGGCTAGTCTTCACAGCCTGCTGTGGTTAAATCATAACTGCCTCCCAGAAGCCTACTGGTCTCCTGCCCATAGTGCTATTGGGAGAGGTGGGGCCTAGGGGAGAAAGTTAGGTCAATGGGGGTGTACCTTTTAGCCATTTCTGTCAGATGGCTCTTCTGCCATATGCTGCCACCATTATACCATTTCTCCAGAGAGCCAAGCAACAAGGCCATTGCTCACAAGTTGACTCCTCCAAATCAATAAGTTATTTTTAAGTGTTTGGTTACTGCAATGAAAAACTGTCTCCCCTGCAAGAGGGTTTATATGGATAAGAGCATTTTAAGATTCAATGTGTCTTATATCCATTCCTTCTTCTCTGCCCACACTTTACATCACCCTAACATGGGTTTCAAGCTCTGGTTGCATTCCATCAGAAGAATGCATTTACATCAACGAGTAAACATACGTTTAAGTGAAACCTCAGTGGCATTTACTCTTCCATGTGATACACTCTAAAACTGTCTTCTTTTTTTTTGTTTGTCAATGCAGATTATAATGAATATAACCTTAATTCTAAAATCTCCAATCTACTATTAATTTCATCTTCCACGCTATCACTTATTCTTACATCACAATTACTTCACTGTTTGGAACACTTAAAAGATCTCTGCCTTATGTGAAAGAACAGAAGACAAAAAAATGCTGTTGTGTGATGCATTCATTCATGGAGAACCTATGCTAGGCTTTGTGCGGGAACTTGGGATTACTAGCATACAGCTCAAGCATGGCTCCTGTTACCATGCTTACAATCCAGCCAAACAGTCATCACATAAACACTCCACACTCTTTGTGAGTGCCTCTGTCCACACTTAGCCAACTTCCTTCATTCCCCTCCTCACTTTTTTTTTGGTCAGTTGTGGGGCTTGAACTTGGCCTGGGTGCTGTCCCTGAGCTCTTCAGCTCAAGGCTAGCATTCTACCACTTGAGTCACAGCACCACTTCTGGCTTTTTCTTTTTATGTGGTGCTGAGGAATCAAACCCAGGGCCTCATGCGTTTGAGGCAACTGAGCCACCTTCCCAGCCCCCTCCCACTTCACTTTTATATTGCTGTAACTGCTCTGATCTGCACGCAGGACTCAGAACAAGCCACACCTTTTTCTACACTGTGGTTGTCATCCACGGCATTCTCTCCGGCTGGGATGAACTTCTTCACCATCTCACAAATTCCTCCTTGGCCTTCAGGAACTCGGGTGTCTTGTCTGCAGTTCCCCAGCCTCATGCCTCCTCGCTTTAGTCCCTGCCCTCCTGTCATCATGGACTGGGCACAATTCTCTGACAGTGTACATCACATTGCACTGCCGTCTTCCGCTGGCCATGAGCTATCCTCTTATCTACAGCAGTTTACAGCTCACAGCAGAAATGAACGAACATGCATAATAATCTTGTGTGGGTCCATGAAACCATTACATTGATTACTCAACTGGATCGATGCTTTTACTGTATCTATTTTTCTAAATTTTATGGTAAATTTGCATTTAATGATTTTTTTAAAGTCTTATTTCAATTTATAGATTTTTTTTCATTAAAAATTAGCTCAATGCTGGGTATAGTGGTCCATTCCCCAAATCCCAGCAGACGGGGAGGCAAATGTAGAAGGCTCAAGAGTTCAAGGACAGATTGGCCTACTTAAGTAAGTTTGAGCACAGCCAGAGATACTCAGCAAGACCCTGTCACACAAAAAGAAAAAAAAAATGTTCAGCAGCAGCCACTCTGACAGAATATTTATCTTGAAATTGATCCAATGAACATTCTTAATTTCAGTAACAACACCGGCAAGAAAAAGCATACAGAATTTCCAAAATCAATAATTAGGTCAGTGTCTGCAATGCAGCACAGTTCATACAGGCAAGGCAGAGTTATCCCACCCATTTCCATTCTCAGTGCTCATCACTTGATTGGAAGAGAAGTTGTTGAATGTGGCTTATCCTCTATAGGAGGCAACACTCTCTCCTTTTCAAATAGTTCCAGGGCATTTTTGTAGTGTAAAATGACTTTTAAGGAGAGTGTTAAATAGGTATTAAATAAGCTATTATTGTGCAAGAGTAGTACAGAACACCTCATATATTTGGACAGGAACTTTCTTAAGTTCTCTACCTTTCAACCTATTGCTAGTAAAACATATTTCCAATGTCGACTTCTAGGTTAAAATCTGTGGGGAAAGGGATCTCGAATTTTTGTAAATTCTATCACCACTAAATGTTTTCCCTCACCCCCACCGCCACCACCCTAGCTGGAATCTGCCACCATCTCTGGTGCCTGGGCAACCGCTCATAGTCTTAATTTTTCCAAGTCCAAACCTACTGTACATGGAGCAATAGTGCATGTGAGTGAGTGGTTAGGAGCCAGCTTGCAGAGGACCTGGCATCAAACAGGTGCAAATGAACTCTAAGGAACATTACCCCTTTTCTACCTACTTCACAGTCCTCCTCTGGGATTTTTGGGCTTCATCTCAAAATATAAATGTGACCACTGTACTGTTCAACTCAGAGTTGCCCACACCCCAGGATGTGAAACTCCGTGTATTCTCAGGCCTCACTCCAGACCTGAATCAGACACTGATGTCTGACGATGTCTTCCAGCTGATTCTAATGTATACTCCAAATTTCCTAGCAGGGATCACAGAGGTCCCTCAAAACATTTTCCTTGCACCCCATTTCCAAACTTCTTCTATTTCTGAATTCTGATCTAAGGAATAATTTGCACAGATCACAACCAAATATACCTGACCCAGAGAAGGTGCATGCTAACTAACTGCTTGTCAATTATATTACAAAAATTTAATCACATAAAAACTAGATTTTTAGCCTGTGTTGTAAAAAAAGATCTTGTATTTCAGACTTGCATTGCATACAGCAACAAACAGCAAAGAGGTTAACTCTCCAGCCTTCACCAGCTCTTTCTATTCCAAATGTTTTGATATCTCCAAACTTCTTTACATTCCTTACCTCTATGTAGCTTTTCATACTTTTTTGTAATAGGCTGCATCTCTTAAAAAGAGCTGTCTTTAAATTTTCTACTTCCCTAAATGTGTTCACTAAGTAAAAGAATATTCTGGAAACAAGACCCCAAAATGTTTCAGTTCTATCAGAAACCTTGGGGTTTCTACCCACTCAGAAATTTAAACGGTCTGTATCTACTTTCTAGAATATATGTAATAACGCTCACTTAAGAAAGTCGGTAAGAGATTTTTACCGTGTTATTTTGGCTTACATAGCCTTTCATGTGTGTGTGTGTGTATATATATATATATATAAAATCTCAAAACATGTTCTCTGCTGAAAAAGATCTAGTCTACACAGGCAGAGATTTTACTGACCCTAAATACTACCTGTGACTTTTATATCCTAGATTTTATATCCACCACCACCACCCTCGAAAAGACAGACACACTGGGTGTTCGTTTCACCTGCATGACTGCCCCCGTGCCCCTCCGGGCCTGGGCTAACCCTTCTCCAGGTTTGGCAGGGACAATGGACCTGCTACCGAGACAAACTGCCTTCCCGCGGCTCCCGCCAGGCGAGCTCACAAACCGGCGTAGGAGGATGAAAATCTTAAGGCCCTTTACAGGCGTGTGCGTGTGCGCGCGTGCGCGTGCGGGCGTCACTCCGGGGGCTTGAGCCGGGGCCCGAGGGCTGCCCCGGACCTTCTCTGCTCCGGGCTGGGGACGGTCGCACGGGCTTTCCCGCGAGCCTCGGCCCCCGGCCCGCAGCAGCGGGGATCGCGGGCCTGCGCCCGGGCCCGGCCTCCGAGGCCTCCAGGAAAGCTCCAACTTCCCTCCGAATCCATCGGCGGACACACCCATGCCCCCCCGCCCCCGTCACCCAGTTCGGTAAGACTCTCCTTCTCTCCTCTCCCCCGGTCCTCCAGGGGGCGCCCCCAAAGTCGGGGTGACCCTAGGCCGGCGGCCCGAGGGCGCCGCTCCAGCCCCGACTCCCGGACGCCGCGCGCTCCCCGCCCCTCACTCACCACCCGCGGACACGAATGCCGTCCCGCCCTTTCCGGTCGCTCTGCCCGCCTCTTCCGCCCACACCGCGGCGCGCAGGCGCGATGCGGCCGGCCGCGGAGCGGGGGGGGGGGGGGGGGGTAGGCGGGCCGTCGTAGGGGAGCGGCCGTCGGGTCGCGGCAGGGCGGGGTCGAGGTCTCGCGTTACGTGTCCGTCGTGTCCAGGCCTGGGGCGGCGGGAAGCCCTGTCGCGTTGCTCCGGGAAGCCGGGCGTTCTGTAGGAGGGGTACGCGGTCTTTCCGGGGGCCTTTGGCCTGGGGTTGGCGGTGCGCGCAGGCCTCCCGGCCTGGTGCTCCGGGCCCGGCGCGGCTCCTCCGGCCTCGCGTAGCGGCGCGTGCCCGCCCGCCCCGCGGGAGCCCGGCCGGAGCCCGGCCCTTTGCCCCCGGAAGCTTCGCATGGAGGCCGGGGGGGGGGGCGGTGCAAACCACCAGTACCAGGCAGGGACTCCGCCCTTGCAGCTGGTCGGGGTAAATGCTCAGCGCCCCGCGGAAACACAGTTTGTAAACGATGGCGTCGTTTTGCCAGACGCACAGATTTTTCTCCTAAAGGACATCCGGTCGCATTGACCTGAACCGAACTTGCAGCCGAGACGCGCGCGCCTCGTACACCAGCCGGCGGCCGGGACGACGCCGGGCCTCTCGGTTCACACCAGCCCAGGACTTGTAGGGAATCCTAACTTTCCCAAGCGTTTGCTCCAGTGTGATAAAAGACAGCCTCCACCAGCAGTAGCCCAGGATCAGATTATGACGTGAAACAGGCTTTGGGGGACCAGCCCTCAGCCTGCACACTGGCAGACATTGGGGCTTCAATCTTAGCTCTCTGAGCAGCGTTGAGTCTTCATGAACATAGAGTAAAAGATGAATTATTGGTCTTTCCTAGCATCACCATTATTTTCATTGTTGTTATTTGACCTCCACAAGCAATTGCTGGCCCACGAATAGTTTCAGAAAATGAAATGTAAATGAAGAAAAGGAAGGTCTAGTGGGAACATCCTGGAAGTGCTCGTACCTGATTTCAGATGTCACCGACTGTCCCGAAGTGAACTTGGGACTGTTCACTTTGTTGCTTTAAACTTGGACTTTGTCATCTGTACTTTTTTTTTTTTCTGTTTTTGATAAAGGCTAAATACTTTGAAGATCATTGCATTATCCTAGAAAATGAAGTATTTTTCATTCAAAAGCTTTTTCTTCATCGTTACCTACAAACTCTGTAAATACTTAAGTAATTCTTTTTTTTTTTTAGGTTAGAGATCAAGACTCTCATTGGCTAATGTTCTCCCAACTGAGCCACACCTCCAAGCCCCCCTCCCCTTTTTTTGTTAATTCTGCCTAAGTTATTCAGGTGTTCCCAATCTATTCTAAGGAACGTTGCTTCTTTGGAAAACGTTACTAGATGCTCCCTGAGAAAAGGTTGTTAAAAGTGTTTACAAGGCCTTTGTTTTTGAGGATATTTTTGTAGGATTCTTCCCAAAATAGTATACCCAAATTTCATCATGAGGAACTATCCGGATAAATTCTAAGTATGATTTGTTCGGACTGTCACGAGAGACAACATTTTTTTTCATTTCTCGAGGATAATGATATTACTAGAGGAATTCTTTTTGTTCTTAGAGGATGTATGTTCTGATATTGGAGTAGGGCTCACAATGTCTGCAAATGTCAGATAATCCAGATCAATGGTAAAGAGTATAGAGAAAGAGAAAATAGGCACTGTGCTAATGATTGCTAGCTCAGGTGACTGTTCCATGACTGCATTTTAAATTCTTCTGCAAATTTGAAAGTTTTCAAAATAGGAACAATTTGTGTCCAGCTTAATAAAAAACTTAATAAAACATTGGTTGTCCTCATTCATAAGAAAAAACAAAATTCATAGTAGGTTTCTTACTTATCCTTTCTTAAGGATGTCTAAGAACCATACAAACTGTCTTGAGAAATGACCTCATTCTTAAAGGCATGATACCGAACCTGGTTACCAACCAAAGGAATGTTAATGTGTGTCATGTGATGGTCACACTTCTAGTGTTGCTGCACTAGAAGTTTAACAGTAGTGAAGTCTTGTAGTCTGTTGAGTTCGTTTTTTAATTTATTATAAGTATTTATTGAGTGGCCACTAAGTGTAGACACTATACAACAGGAACTCCCGAGGATACATGCTCAAATCCCTTATGTAAAGTAGCATAATGTTTGATCTAACTGGCTCACATCCTCCTTTATTCTTTAGTTTCAAAATTACTTATAATACCTAATAAGTATAAACGCAGTTGTAGATACTGTATTGAGGGAATCATGACAAGGAAAAAAATGTACGTACATATTCAGCACAGTTAAATATTTTGATGGAGAGGGCTAACTGTACTAGATTCTAGAGATGGCTATCACCGATACAAGTTTCAGCCCACACAGAGCTTACATTTTCAAAAGTAAACAAGCAAATATAGATCAAAGAAGTGCTATATAGAATAATAAGCAAGAATTTCGGTGTTAGTGAGCGCCGGGCAGAATGGGTGTATACTCTTCTCTACAGGGTGGCAAATTGGGCCTCTAAGGAGACATTAGAGCAGAGACCTAAAGAAAGTAGAGTCTGTTCTATGAAAGGAAAGAGCATACCATAAGAGAGCAGCAAGTATTGGGCTCTGGGGCCAGAGCAGCTTAGCAATGTAGTTTTCTATTACCACCACATAAAATTGCCCATGAATTAAAAAGCCAGGCTTGGTAGCATGTACTTGTAATCCCAGCACTAGGGAAACAGGCAGGAGGATCATTAGTTCAAAGCCAGCCTGTGTTATGTAGTAAGAAACCAAAAAAATTCTCCTCTACAAATTTGTTACTTTTATAGTTGTGTAGGACTGAGGTCCAACACTGGGCTCAAGTCAAGTCTGCTCACATCAGTCTTCATTCCTTTCTAGAGGCTTTCTAGCTTTTAGATGCCACATCTCTTGCTTTGTGACCCCTCCCCCCCCCCCCCCAATTCTCCTTTTAAATGCTAGTAGCATTAGACAAAGGTTTCTCTACCTTTAAGGCTTAGTGTGATTAAGGTAATCCAGGATAATCTTCCCATCTCAAGGTCTTTTACTTTAATCACATTTGCAGAGTCTGTGGCACCCACTTTGCCTTATGATATTCACAAGTTCTGGCACTTTGGAAATCTGTGTCAGGGAGAGATGGCATTCACAGTCCAACTTCCAATCTTCATGCTTGTTCTCAAGCAGAAGGACCCAGTATGTTTTCAACACATTGTAGCATCTCACCTAAAACTCAGAAGCCCCAAATTAAGGCTAAGCATGGAAACTAGACCTGTAATTCTAGTTATTTAGGAGGCAGAGAAGGAGAGGATAGATCTTTGAGGGCAGCCCACACAGAAAGTTCCAGAGTTCATCTCAACTAATAACAAAGCTAGCTGTGGTAGCGTGTACTTGTCATCCTAGCCATGTTGGAAGCCTGCATGGGAGGGTGGCAGCTCAGGCAACCCCAGGTATAAATGTAGTGCCCTTTTCAAAAAAAATAACTAGCAAACAGCCTCGAGTTCAAACTGCCACACACACAAAAGGCCCAACTAACTCATCTATTAAAGTAGGTACGGTTGAGGCTTTATTTGTATCCATCCTCGCACAAGATTCTTTTCCATTTGGAGCTGCAAAATTAAAAAAGTGAGTTCTCCATAAAATTTGACTTGTTGAAACTCCTTGGTAAAACTGAGATTAAAAAACAAAAAAAAAGATTTCCCTGCTGCAACATTACGAAATGTAGTGTAGAACAGACCTGTGGTGGCAGCTACAAGCATCTCCATTACAAAAGTGAGAAAATGGAAAAACATGAGTCACTAGTACCAAACCATTTCCCAACCCAATCATCAGTCCACACGAAATGTCAAGCCCAGGAACAATGCTCTGTGGTTCCTTATTCAGCTCTAAGGCCATGATGGCCCCACCGACTCAGCACTGGAAATTCAAGAATGGATATCTTTGCAGGATCGTTATGCTAACTACCACTATCATTACTGTGTCATTTACATCTACTATTTTTTCACACTAATCTTCACTTAGTAGTTCTTTAAGTTC